TTGGAACTCTCTTCTTCTGTGAAAACTGAAATATCAACTATATTCTGTTCAAAAGAATGATGATTGTGCATATTTTTGCAATAATTCGAGAATGGTAATAGAATAGTTCATTTGTTGAGATTTGATAAATCTTCAAATAAAAAGAAAGAATTCAAAAAAAAACATAATAAATATCTTTTTTTCTCTTTACTTGAAAAGATTAAATTATTAAGATCATGTAATATAAAGGGATGTTTAAAAAAAAATTATAAATAAACGAAGTTCATCATATTGATTATGAAAAAATTGGTCGAATTGTTGTTGGTCTTAAAACATTTGAAAGAACATAAATATCTTCCAAACATCCAACCTATATAAAAGACAAAAATGACAAACAATTTGTATTCGAGTTGATGCTTGAGCTTGTAATGAATGGTGAATTTTATATATCCATTGACAAGGTAAAAATGAATTGTGATCAACAAACCTTAAAATCGAAAAAGTAGCTAATAACTAACTTAATGTAATAAAATCGACTTATCCAAATTCGAAAAAAGCTACGTAGTTATTATCTCTACAAAATACATACTTAACAAAAGTCGAAGCAATTGCTTGACGAACACGTATATCAGGGTACTGTTGTTTTAATTGTTGTTGTTATTGTTGTTCAAGATAAGTTAATATTCGAAAATCAATATCATCTATAAGTTGAGCTAGAGCAAACTATTTTATATACATACAAAAAATAAATTATTGTAATCATAAATTTCTTTTATCTACTTTAGCAAGAACACAGGAACTTGTACTATGTTGAATAGAATCTTTCAATAATTCAATTCCTATGATTGTAGATGCATGACTATAAATTAATAAAAAAAGGTAATAATGTTCGTAAAGCATTTAATAAAACATGTATAACACGTGCATTATTATCATTAAGACATATAATCTTGAACTATCTTGTGAATCAGTTGATACAAGTGAACATTGATTAATAAAAGAATTTGATAATGATGATAGTGTTAAAAGATGAATTGTTGTTTGAATTAGTGTAACAAGTAAATTTGCACATGCACCACGTAAATGTAGATCACCATGTTCACATAAAGATATGTAATATCTTAAAGAAAAGAAAAACAAAGATACCTTGATGTTCGATAAATTTTAATGTATTACAAGTCATATAGAGATGTAAATTTCATTTTTTCCTTTAGAGAATTCAATTTTAATTACAAAATTATATCTAATCAGAAATCTTCAAAGACTAAAGAAAAACTTCTTAGAGGATACAATTGATTTCACATCCCGAACGTCAGCTTAGAACTATTTTTTGAGGTAATTGTGTGATTGTAAAATTTCAATCTCTGATGTATTGATGCAGGCTTTGAGCTTCAATAAAGTGTTCTACTTGATATCGTTTCGAGTCTGATAATGTTCTAGTCTTTTGTTGATTTCAAAAAAATTAAAAATAGGACTAGAGCTGCTGAATCAATATTCAGAAATCTTCGTTCTTGAATTTTCAGATACCAATATATATATATGTTTCAACAATTTAATAGTGAAATTGTCATATCTATCAGATAACTTTCACTAAAACTTTGAGACCTTAACCAATTGAAGCGACATCAACTAAACTCTGCCACAATCCCCCTTCACCTAAGCCCTCCTACTGTTACGACATTAGAAATAATTTTGGATTATAAAAAAAATCTCTTTCACTGAACTGAAAGCTTACAAAAAAAAGTCAAACAAGAATTAAACATACTTTCAGTAAGATAAACAAATGGTTCAAATTGTTTATAAATACGATAGACATATTGGTATAGCACATTTAACACTAATACGTGATTCATCATCACTTTTTATCGTACCACCTATATTGAGTATATATCTAATCGGAAAAAAATATTATTGATTAACAAGTTTAGCAGCTGATGTTCGTTTTTTATTATTAATCATTGATGTTGAATCGAATTCATCATTCATTTCAATAAATCAACGTTGATATGTTGAATAAGCTATTATTTTAGGAAAAAAAACACAAATAAAAACAATTCCTTTTTTTTCTCAATATTTACCTGTTTGTAATGTTTGACTAACACAAGTTTTTTTCTAAAGATCCAATTTGAGTTGAAATTAATAATTGATCAAAATCAAATAAATTTGAATAACGAAGTAATTGAATCATTTTTTTTATTAAATCAAGATAATCAATTATTAAATGTGTACTAGCATTTTGATTTTGATGTTCAAATAATTGATCTATTAAAATAAAAGACAATTATAATGGATTGAAATTATTATTTGAAAGAAAACTTACTAATTGCATTTGTCATTAGAAAACGTGCTATAACCATAGGATAACACATTTGCTGACTAGGCCATGAGAAGTTTCTAAGAATAGTTTAGTAGTTTACTAAATATTTCAAAAGAAAACTATTTATTATTGATATTAGGAAAAAAACAGAAGAATTCGTTTTCACTCGATTTCATACTTCAACTATAACGATAGCCAGTGAACTCCTATGACTAAACCATTCTTAAGTTGCATGAAACTCTACGCTCGATTACTTTCGATGGCAGATCGCTTCAAATGATAGACAGTTTCTCAGTTCGTATTTCGTCAAATAGTATCAGACTGCCTATTCTACATTTTCTGAGAAACATTCTCTCCTGCTAGAAATTTTAACCGAAACATGGTAGAGCAATCCTTTTCTATGTTTCTATTCAACCGTATGACATTTTTCTGATTACTTCTTTAAAAGACTTGTCTTAGATGACAAAGATTTTTGTTTTAATTACTTTAATTTCTTTATCATTAATCGGTCGACCAAGACTACGAAAAATAAGTTCATAATATTCTGATAAAATGGTTGAATCTTTTTGGAATGTATTACATTTGCTAATTCGGCAAATCACCACAACACCTAATCGAAATTTAAAAAAATCCTTATTATTAATTTAAGTCAAATAATCAAAATAACCTTTTAAAGCATTTGGCCCAACATTAGGATTATGTTTTATAGTTCGATATAATTCAACCGGAATTCTTGTTAAATCTGCTTCTTTTAAATTCTATTTTATAATTCATACAAAATTATACAAAAAAAACAATTTCTTTTATAATGCTTTAACAAATTTATTAAGATTTTCTTCAGCAGTCAATTGTACATTATAATCATTTTCATCACATGTTGTAAATAATGTGTCCACGCTAGCTTTAATTAATTTAAAATAATTTCCTTGTTATCTCTAGATGAGAAAAGCATTCTATAAGAGATAGAAACAAAATGAAAAACAGAAAAAGATCCAATTATTTACTTGATTATTAATGTTTCTGACGCTGTTGTTGAAAGTAATTTTAAAAATTCAAGTGATTTATTTAGTTTATCCATG